CAGACCTCGTGAGGAGGCGGACTGGTTGGGGCTGCTCCAAGTCCATCAAGGCTTCCCTGTCGCTTCTGAGGCCCGGGGTCAACGTGGCGAGCTGGACATCGTTGTCATTGCTGGAAACGATGGAGTATGAGCTTGGACTCCTCTGAACGGCAGGTTTGACTTCGTGATCGGGAAAGTCGGGAATCGTGAGGGGAGGAAACAGCTCGGGATCAAAACCAAAGTGTTTTTCCAGGTCCAGATTCAGCTGCTGGATGATGTTGACGGCGGCCGTGGATGACGTGAAGGAACCGAGGTTCCCACTCAGCTTGACCATGGGCACCACCACCAGGAGCAGTGTGACGGTGGCAATGGTATGTGCCGTTTGATTGTCCAGTCGGCTCGACCAAGTCCGGACGAAAGCACCCATGAGAGCCGACATGAGACCCACGATGGAGATCCACGTCGTGAGGAGCGACTCGTCTCGGTTGAAAACAAGACGTTGGGCCGCGGACTCGAACAGGTAAAGCACCGGGCGCTCGTCGTCGTCCAGTTGCGCGATGGCTCGGTGCCATTGCTGAAAATATGCCGGCACGACACGTGCACCTGACGATGACCACTTAGGTTTTCTTCGCAAACGGGAGAAACTATGTCTGATGCGTTCCGGGAATGTTCTCTTCGTCTCTAGGGATCTTGATATGCCAGACCTGTCTGGTTTTTGCCCATCCTTGAGGATAAGGAAATCATCGAGGAACATCTGATAGCCCCGTGGCAGACCCCCAGGAGTCTGCACCGAGAGCCTCGAGCCATCAGAGACCTTGCCTGCGGTACTGCCCACCTCATGATCCGTGCCCTTGCTGGCCTGGAGCCTCTTGAGTGCTTGGAGGAAATGAGTGGAGGGATCGTGGAAGTTGAGCTCATCATAGGCGGCCCATATGGTCGCGACGGCGCCGGCGCTTAACAATCGGCTGTCCTCGGCTTTGCGAAGAAGGAAGCGGCGCGTTGTGATGCGTGTCAACAAACACCAAAGCGTGTCGATAGGGTCGGCGAGCATGTGGGCGATGACGCAGACCATGTTGCGAGCGCCCAAAGGCGGGAAATGGAAATGTGCGATCAGAACAATGGCTGGCACCATCCAGATCGAGATGCGCAGCAGGATGTCCTTGGGGTCCCATAGCCCGTAGCCATCTCCGCAAAGCCGTTGGCATGTCTGGTACGTGATGAAGATGCGGTCGGGGTTTGTCAGGACACCGGCGTGGTTGAAGACGCAGATCTGGTTACTTGGGTCGCTGCAGTTCTGAGGTATATGCTGGACGATGCCACTGTAGCAGGCTGTGAAGTTGACGTTGTTGACCCATCGGAACGCCTGGCCGGGGGCTGGGAAAATGGTGGTCGCGACAAGTACAAGCTTGACAAAATGGAGATGGGGGAACCAGGCGGGCATCATTCTTGTCGAACAGCGGTAGATGCATGCAATGCAACAAAATCTGAAAGGGTTGATGCCGATCCACTGAAAGCCATCTTGAGGTGCATGTGTGTTTGTGACGCTCAAAAACTCCAGTCTCATACAGCGCTTCCTTCATGTTTTTTAAGGGATGACGACCAGACGGCGTGCAACCACTACATGAATGAGCTGAACTATGTGGCGCCGCCCGCATGGTTGTGAGATTGGATATTCGCCTGGCGACCTTATCTCCCCCTCGCTCAGTTTGCTCGATTTAGTTTGGCGCGACGAACCACGACCCGTTCTTTCTTGGGTCCATTGCCAATGAAGCTAGCCCCCTGTGTGTCGCTGATAACATATTTTGAAGTCACGGGCCACAAACAGCCGTGCACTCACAACCCCGCAACTCGCTTCAGCTTCAAGAGAGGAATTGGACTGGGGTTCTACAACGAGGCTAGTCCACCTCGGGTTGGTCCGAGTTAAGTTCACATTTGGAAATTTTCTTCTGTACCTGCAGAAATACCTAGCTTCATATTCAGCCTAGGTGCAGAGACTACAGGGGTTCCCTACATATCTGGGTTTCAAGGGTTTGTTTACTTCCTAGGGCTTTGAACGGCACCCCAGCGACGGATGATGTGAAAATCAGGACTTCCAAGTGGGGGTTGGCAGATCGGGCATGAGAATGCGGGGACAAATTTGACCGCACTGGGAGAAGATACCGTGCTTCTGGTAAGCTGATGTACTGTGTACCTTACCTGGGTGCCCGGCTGGTTGGTGAGAAGGACCGCTGTTGGCGTCCAGGCACCGGCAAAGCTCCAGCAATTTTATTGGTCTCGCGGTCCTGCACCTTATTGATCCTGGCGGTTGCATTGTGCCTGCCGTGAGGGCCACCCATCCAATTGAATGTAGTGTGCCCCTAGCCTCCATTTCAAGTTCTTGGGAAGGACTAACCCACATCATCCAATTCGATCCAATTCGACATGGGCGCCGGAGTGCTGGGACAGGAACCCCAAGCTCCGGACAGCCGGGCTTCTGTCCTTTCTCGAGCACTCCCGTCGACTTCTATTCTAGGTCTCGTCAGGCGACAGTGCTCGTCGCTCGCCATCGAACTCGCGCTCGTGCCCGGCATGCAACTGGTGCCACAGACGATCCACTCCCCGCCTCGGTTCATCTACGCGTCCGCGACCGCCCGACGAGCAATGGCCGCCCTGCCCTCAACCAGCACACCCGAGAACACGCCGGTGATCGACGAGAACCCGCAGTTGCAATCCTACTACCTCTCCCTCGAGTCTCGAGTTGGCTACCGGCTTCTGCTCGGAGGCACGCGACATTTCGGCTACTGGGACTATGATACCTACTGGCCGTTCCCCGTCTCCAAGTTTTTGAGGGCCATGGAGGACAAGCTTGCCCAGGTGCTCGCTCTGCCTCCGGGCGCCCAGGTCCTCGATGCTGGCTGCGGCGTCGGCCATGTGGCCATTCGCATGGCCAAGACGCATGGTCTCCGCATCACGGGCATTGACGTCGTCGACCACCACATCGCCAAGGCACGCCGCAACATTGCCCGCTGCGGCCTGCCTGACGGCGCCATCACGGTGCAGAAGATGGACTACCACCACCTCGACAGCCTGGCTTCCGCGTCTCTTGATGGCGCTTATACCATGGAGACGTTCGTTCACGCCACGGACCCTACCGCTGTCCTCGCCGGCTTCCACCGACTGCTCCGTCCCGGCGGTCGCCTCGCCCTGTTCGAATACGACCACGAGTTTCTTCATGACTCCCCCGAAGACATGGCGACCTCGATGCGCAAGATCAATCGCTACGCCGCCATGCCAACCAACGATCTCTCGCACCCGGGCGTGTTTGAGCAGATGTTGCGAGAAGCCGGATTCGAGGATATTGTCGTGCGCGACTACTCAGAGAACATCCGGCCCATGACGAGGCTTTTCTTCCTCGTCGCCATCATACCATACCTACTCATTCGCCTGTTGGGCCTTGAGCGCTTCTTCATCAACACGGTAGCTGGTGTCGAGTCGTATCGGGGACACGGACGGTGGCGGTTTGTAGCCATCACAGCCTCCAAGCCCGGAGGCCCACTGGAACTGGGCAAGATATGACGATGATGATGGATGATGAAAGACTTGACATCAACTATGACCCCACGGCAACAGTTGGAACTGAACGAAATTACGACAAAAGACAACTATTATGTCGAGAAACGAACTTCGCTGGTGGTAAGCAGCAGATCGAGCACTGGGATTATAGTATCATTGCTACCGGCAAACGTGATGCAAGGTTATATGTCAAATTGTTCATTAATCGGAGTTTCCATACATGGCATAAGATGCACTGCAAGCTATGCTGCTATATCATTGTTCCCCATTGGGTCCTATCATTGACCTGTAACATAAACCCAAACGCCGCCGCTCATCTACGAAACCCTGTGCTCTAGTTGGAGAACTTGGAAGGCACTTTCTTGCTGCTTGGGGTTAGATACGTGCGTGTGGTAGCTTTGGATGGAACATAAATGGTGGCTACTGCTTACCCTGAGTGGCCCTCGAACAGCTCGCGGGCCTTGTCGGTGACCTTCTCGACGGTGCTGGGGTTGGAGTTTACGCCTTGCTTGTGGAGCGTGTTGTTGACGACTGTGTCCCCGATGGGTTAGCATGGATTCGCCAATGGGTGCAGCCCCGGAAGAAAAGGATGGCTGTGGAAAGGAGCAAACAAACATTTGTCGACCATGTCCGGGTTCTGACCCTGGGTGTTGACAGTGCCCTGGGCCTGGTTGTTGTTGTTGCTGGAAGAGCCTCCGAGAACAGACTTGAGTTGATCCATCTTGCTGGTGTTTGGGTGGGTGATTTTGTTTGTGGATTGAGTGAAGAAGTCGGTGTGATTGTGAGTATGTGATTTTATGTTGAGCGAGATAAAGAGCAGAACGACAAGCACGGTTGCAGCATTTGTTTCAGGGTTTATATAGATACCTTACCTGCTAATCTGCAGGGCCTTTCTACCGTCCTTCACTATGTCGTCACTTTTCCATAGCGTGATCGAGGGTCCTACGATAACGGTGCTGGACTGGATAGCCCAGTGAGGGGCAGCACTGAACCGGGCTAAAACCGGATTTCTAGACCGTCCATTCTTGTGTCGCATAACATACCTACAAACCAGGATAAATCCGTCCGGATCCGTCGAGCAGCACAATGCAACCGGCCGACGGTCCAAAGCGTTCTAGACTGGCCCTGATTTACCAATTCTCCGATCTTGAAGGCTCTAGGATTGCGTACGCTCACCAACCCCGCCATATCTGCATCGACGGACCCTGAAATTCTGAGACAGGACCCTTGACGCCAAGCCTGCTTTGGCGGTTTACGTCATCATGCAGGTCATTGCCCAATCCCGGGACTTCCGCTCCACAGGTTCACGCAACATCCAATCCAATGATCGAGGTTCTGCTTCGCAGCAGCGGATGGGAAATCCTTCTGCACTCTAGGAATCGCTGGCACACACAGTTGACTACATGCCCACGGATTTTAAAAAAAAAATGGAATGGCCTTTACTCTTGTAAAAGGAGGCAAAAAGTAATGGGCTCCGTCGGGATTCGAACCCGAGACCTCGCACATTTTCTGTTACTTGATGATTCAAGTAATGATTAACCTGTTGCCAGATGTCACCCGAAGCACGAATCATACCACTAGACCACGGAGCCTGTTTTGATGAGTTATTGGATGGTTGTGGATACTTATGCCGCAAGGCCACCCCTGGCTCCACACCCCACGCCCACGGCAAAAGGCAAATCTCACGATCTTCATGATTCTGCTCCACATCGACTCCATAATCGATTAGGTACCTAGTGAATGACATGAACCCATCGGGTTCCTTTCCTAACATAATAACAGAGAATGAACCTCGGCCCTCAATCGAAACTGATTATCCACAAAAAAAACCGAGTGTGTCGCTTTCCGGCGACTTTCCAAAAAATGAGCTGGGCCACCCAACTTTACCGGGCCAGTCTATCGCGCCGTGCAGCCCTTTGCTGCATCCCATCATCCGTTAGGTACCGGGTGCTTTAGCTAAACAATCTATTTGCCCGTCACCTCCTGAAACCAAATCGGTCACGCCAGCTCGAAGACTGAGACTGTTGAGCTTCCTCTCTACTTGGGCTCAGGCTGCCCGAAAAGCTGATGCTGGATGAAGGGCAAGCCGCCTGGTACTGCCGACGGATAGATTTCATGTCACTCTAAACCATTACATTAGATACGCGGTTGCTGCATACTACACAACAGAAAGATGGTGACTTGGAATAGACCGGGACTTACCGAGGTAAGCTCGACCCTTGACTTAAGCAGCCACTCATTGCCCACACCCTTGCTCTGTTCAGTTTATTAGCCCAAATAAATCCAACTATAGTTAAAGTCCTTAACATAGGTCTTGATGCTGGAGTTAAAGAACATGACCAAGGTATGTGCTTACGCATAAAGAGTATTGGCCTTTGCCACACGCTTGGTCAAGGATTTTGAGCAGGTTGCCCGTATCGGCGTTGACTAGCCACAGCTTTTGCTCAGGCCAGCTATATCTAGAGCTTCCGAACTTCTGGATGCTGCTCATGGTGGTGGGGATAGTGCAGTGTGAAAGCTTGGTAAATTTTGGGGGGGTTTATAGAGGGAACCCCGACGAAGTTTGACGAACAGGATGATCTCGATAGGGGTGGTGTAGCCACAAGGGGTTGAACGGTCTGGTGCACTGCTGATGATTGTCGTGGAGCACGGCTGCAAGTCGGGAGAAGCGAGTCTGAGAGAGAAATTTGCACCGGGCTGGAGGGTGAGGGTGATTTATGGACTTTATGCAAGTGCAAGCACCAATCCCAAGACACATGCACACTGCGCTGGGCATCAGGGAGACGAATACGTGTGTCATCGATCGGGGGCTCGAGGAACGGACAACGAATTGGAATACACGTAGCATTGACTACGCTACCTTGCATTATCCAGTGCAATTCTAACCCCTACACTATCTGAACTTCGGAAACTGAATCTGGAATCTTGTACTCATTACCACTTGGCCACCCAAGTTTGAAGCTGGGCATGAAACAAATAGGAAAGGAACAGCAGGATAGTAGTCGCAAGTAGCAAATAAAACGCTTCTAGAGAAATTATGGACGCAGACATGATTTCGTGCCAAATTAAGCCTTCACTTCTCGCAATCTTGAACGGCATTCGTCATTACATCTTTCCCTGATTCTCAAACAACCTTATCTCCCTGAGGTAAGCGCCAAATGATCAACCGAAGGTAATAGGTCAGGTTCCTCCTACTGACCAACCGAAACGCTCCGAGCCCCGGCAATCTGATGCGTGAAACACTCTGGATCTTAGAAACCTAAAGGCTCGTTCAATCATCAAGCATACAGATCTGGGTAAGCGGCCTTGATCATATCGGCAGCCTGTGTCACAACACCATGTCAGCGCCTCCGTCCAGACCAGTGTTTTTGAATGTGGCGATTGCCATGTGGAAAAACCAACCTTTTCACCAATCATGTAGACCGAGTTCTGGATGCGGCAGTCCGGGATGACTGGGATGACAGAGGCATCGATCACGCGAAGATTCTGAACGCCGAAGACGCGCAGCTGGCTGTCCACGACACCTTTGCTGATGTCTTTGCCCATGCGGGCGCTACCGCAGGGGTCTGTCGCATGAATTATTCGTCAGTTTTCATCCATCTGGTGGCAAGCACAAGGGCATGGATGGCAAAGGTGTTACTCACGGAAACCTGTCTGCGACCGCTCAAGGATGAGCTTGTTCATGGCCTCATCTGAGTTCCGAGGCATAGCCCACGGGTAGTCCTCTTCGATGATATCCTTCATCCCGTCGCCGTTGAGCAGAATGTCGTCAACGAAGCGGACGCCCTCGCGCATAGCGACGATGTCGAGGTCGTCGGCAAAGAAATTGAGGTTCACCTTGGGCTGCTCGAAAGGGTCGGTCGAGTTGAGCCCCACGGTGCCGGTCTTTGAGACCGGACGGAGCAGGTCCACGATGACAGTCATGTAGTCACCCTGTGGTGGGGCGGGAATGTGCCACTGGAATGCATCCGAGAACATGGGGACAAAGTCGATCTCGAAATGCGGCTGGCCTGCAGGGCCGAAGGGGTCGAGACCTCCGTTGGCCTTCTTGGCTGAGACGTACTCGGGGATCTTGTTCAGAAGCTTGTCGATGCGTGGCAGACCAACAAGCTCGAGCAGGCCGCTGGTCAGCGGGCCTTGGTTCTTCCAGCGGTAGGCAGATACGGCGGCGTCTTTTTGGAGTCCGGCACGCAGGAGATGGTTGTCGAGACCATACCCATCCTTGAGCCTGAACACGTGCGGCAAAATCGGATGGTCCAGCAGGTTCTGGCCAACGTGAGGCGAGTCGACGACTGTCTCGATACCAAACTGTGCGAGCGCCGCCTTGGGGCCGATTCCCGACAGCAACAGAAGCTTAGGTGACTCGAACACACCGCTGGAGACAATCACCTCGTGCTTGGCCTTGAAGGTGTACTCGTTGCCATCCGGGCCAATGACCTCCACTCCGACGGCCTTCCCGCCTTCGATAAGCAGTTTCTTGGAGTTGGTCTTGCCCAGCACAACCACGTTGGGCTTGCCGACGAGGTAGAGCCAAGACGACGAGCGCTTGCCGTTGTAGATGCTGTTCAAGCACTTCCAGAGACCACCCATTTTGCCGTTGTGCACGTCGTCCGTGAGAGGCTCGCCCTTGCTGACCCAGGCTTGGGTCAGCGCGTCGCGGAAGCCCGCAACCTCGGGGATAAGATCCGAGTGGGAGACGGGGATGGGGCCGCCCTGGCCAATGTACTTGAGCTCAGGCGAGAACAGCTGCTTGTCGTCGTGGTAGGTCACCGGCTTGTAGAAGTACTCCTTGCAGTTCTTCCAGGTCCAGTCATCGCCGCCAAACTCGGCCCAGTCGTCGAATGTGGCCGCGCTGCCGGGAATCCAAGTGTAGTAGTTTAGGCAACTGGACCCGCCGAGGGCCTTGCCGCGTGTGTTGGGCTTCTCGATGCGCGTGTAGTCGGGGCGGTCGATCATAGTCGTCTTGTAAGCCCAGTCGTATTTGCTGTCGCGCAGCTCGAAGGCACGAGCTGGGGTGGTGATTGCATCGACATCGCCCGGGTTGCTGATGCCGGCTTCGATGACCAGGATCTTGACGTCTGGGTTCTCGGCAAGACGGCCGGCCACCGCGCAGCCAGCGGTGCCACCTGTGTGATTAAGTCATGTGTGAGTCCTGGCTCTGGGCTACAAGCTCGAAGCCGGCTGGAATGAGAACATCGGCTTACCTCCAACGACGATGAAGTCAAATTCGGTCTGGGAATCGACAATACTGGTCATCTTGACTTGATGACTTGTCCAAATGGTAATAAGTGGAAGCTAGAGTATTAACTCGAGTTGATTGGAAACGGCTGGAGAGTTGTCAACGGAGAAAGAATGGTATGAAGGTTTGCTGTAGGGCTTAAGTATTGATGTGATTGTGGCAGTTGTTGCAAATCTGCTGAGTGCTGTACAATGCTGATGATGAGATGCTGTGGAGAACCGACTTCAGCTTCACGTTGAAGTGCAGTGTCTTTATAGTTGTAGTTATAATACCTCTGTCCCGGCGTTGAAGTCAAGTTCCCCGCGTAATAGGAAAAGACACCGTGCTATGAGACTGCGTAACGGGAATCCCGAGGAAGCCGGCGATCCGCAGGGTAGCCCCCGGCGTCGGCTTGCATGGCACTGTCTAGCAAGTTATGTCACAGAATCACACAGGCAGAGCACAGTTGACCCGCTTTCCTGTTACGGGCGAGTCAGGGGCGACCGACCAACCAGACACCTTGTACATGAGGATTCATCGCAGAAGGACTCTATCTCTGCCTTTTTCAATCATGGAACAGCAAGTTTAACCGAATTGCCCTATTCCTGTTCTAGGTCGGTGCCGTGGCTTGTCACGCTGAAGCTGATGATATCATGGCCATGCATGGTGATTAGTATATCTCTTCGTATGAGCATAGTTACGATGTTGGCAGTGCTGTAGTTTCAAGTTGATGCAAGGGGATGACTACTCTCTTGTAGACTGTGCGTTGATGCTGCGGCTGCCGTTACATTGCCGTAGCCGAGGTGAGTAAGGCCTCATGCTTGGACCTTACGAGAAAACGCGGAATGTCACGGCTTTCAGAAGGACCTAATTAGTCTGCTTACTGGTTGCTCGGAGGTATTCACGCCCATTAAAGTTTGGTGTTTGTGACCAAGGCTGGAAAACCTGCTTAAGAGAAGTCAGGACTTAACCTGGGATTATTCCTTCTCTTCATTTGTTAAGATACAGATAGTACTGCCTTATTCCCGTGATCTGGGTCGAGCACATTCCTATCATCACTTTCAGGTGTGCAATCGGCTTGTGGGCGCTTCCACCTTGGGTTTTATGGCTCAGTAAGCACCATGGTAATCTCCACTTATGCCCGCGGTTCCCGAGGATAATTAGTATCCAAAACTGGAGCATGATTGAATCAATTCACCAAGCGCTATTATGAAGAAAAGACCGGAAACCATAGAACTTTGGAATAAATAATTCAGTTTAGAAGATGCCCATTGAGAGTGACAAACTGCGTCCCAAGTCGCGACTCGCAGGATGGACGGGAGGATGAAGAAAGTTGCAGCCTGACATGCCGAGACGATCCCGAGGCCACTGTTT